GGAAGTCATTGGTTATTTTTTAGAAATGAATACAAAAATTTAAATCAAAGCTCAAAAAATTAAATAGTTTTCAAATAAGGAGAAAATGCTAGTCCCACAATTTCACACTGTGAAAAAGTGCTAGTCGTTGGGTAATCAGACAATTTTCGGGACGTTTGAAATACTAGTTTCACATGTGTGAAATTATATGACCAGTGTTTTCTGTCAACCCGGGGTAGCGGTTCTCCATAAAAAGTTAAATCATTCGGCTCATAAGTGATTCGTTCTAAAATCATTCGGCTTTAATTCGTTCGGCTCCTAACTCAATCGGCTTTTAGGTCATCCGGCTTTTGAGACATTCGTCTCTAAGTTATCAGGCTCCCAAATCAGTTTTTTAATTTGAGTTATTAAAGTTGTTGTGAGGTTATCATATCTTGTTGCGGGCTTTTAAAGTAGGGGGTGTGAATATAGGGGGTTAAATAACGTGCGGTTAAAGAGTGGGACTGTCTCAAAAAGATAGTGATTTCTTTTTCTGCTGAAAAATTTCAATAAGCCACAAGGGTTTGTCGTCTGCTTGTTCTCATTTTGAGCTTTTACGAAGCTTGCTGATTTTTTTGCTGTTTTTATGGAGCTACTGTATTGCTTAAATTCATTTTATGAAAAAAATATATAAATTTCAGTCGGTTTAAAGTTTTAATTAATTTCAGAGTGATCGACCAACAGATGGAAACCATTACGGCTCCCTTGGCGCCTAAAATAAAAGTTTTTGTAGTCGTCAACTTCTATTTTTCACAAAATTTGAGGCGCAAAATAAAATAACATAACTTAATCCAACAAAAGTTCGAATCAACGTTTGGGAAAAAGTCAATGAGATTATTTTGGGCATTAGATGAAATTAGGATTGGCGCAAAGTTGAAAGGCTTTCCCGCATCCTGCCAGGCTTCGATCCCAAATCCCGGTTTATGGGCACTCAAAAACCCATTTTAGTGGCAGTCAACGCAAACAATTAAACTCGGAAATGTGGAAGCAGACTGACAAATATCTGCAAATCAGACCTCACATATTCTATGTTAATCGGAACACTACAAATACCTTTTTGTCACTACATGTATCCCACAAAACAAACGCTTAATCAAACGTTTCGGTATCTTTCAAAATAGGACCCGAATTTCGGTCGAATTGATTTTGCAACTGCCATTCAAAATAAACACCCTGCAGTTTAGTCTAACATAAGTTATGGCCTGTTTTTGTTTTTAATTCGATCGCTCTGAAAACAAGCAGATTAGAGTTTAGTTTAATGGCTTATAAAAACGTACTTTTGGCTGTTTTGCTTGGAAACTAGATTTGACAAGAAAATTTTTCACCCATTATGTCTCTATTTTGTTAACTAACAATCGAATATCTGATTAAAATGTACATTAAATTATTCGATTTTGAATTTCAACCATGTAACTAATTGATTTTTCAATTTTTTGGTTTTTCTTGAACTTTTTCTAGGCAGAATAGGCGTGCCGCTGCTCCTTTTAATTTGACCGTAATTGCTCAGCTGTTAAAAACTGTGTTCACAGCTAAAAATTTTCCTAATTGTTATTTATGACAATTTTATTGTTCTCCTATTCAATTCATATCACCAAACTGGAATAAAAGGTGAGTGTTCGCTTCAATCTATTTTGAATGATGAAAAAAAACTAAGTGACAACCGACCCCATCCCTCAGTTTTCATTACCAGGGACCAATCTGAGATTTTCCCTGCGGATGTGTTCTATAAAGTTTGAAAAAAGTGTCGTTTTTTTTCTAGCTCAACGAAAATGATTTTTTGAGCTCTCCTGAAACGCCATAACACTTAAGAAAAAAAATGGAGAAAAAAAAGGCCTGCAGGCAAAACTGAAAAAGTGAGCCAAAGCAGCCGTTGTGGGCCGATTTTGGAATTTTTCCATTCAAAAAAAATGAATTTTTTGGCGCTCACTCATTTTTTTCAAATTGTGTAATTTTTGTTTGTGTTGTGGTGAGAAGATCTCAACAAAAGCTTGTGAATTAAGCATATTTGACCACAATTGTCGTTAAAACAATAGAAAAACAGTAAACCTATACAATTAACTTTCCAGTTAGACCTCCGCGCTGATTGACAAAACACATATAAGCGTTTTTTTGAATTTATTTCTAAAAATACAATTAAATAACAATTATTAATCGCAAATGGAAATAAATTTTCCGAATTTTTGGATCTTTTTAGCGTTGAAACTTCAGTTTTTGGCAAGAGTCATGAAAAGGCCTGAGAACTGATTCTCACGTCAAACCCATTGCTGATTGATGTCATGTAAAATGCTTTCAGTTGCTTACGGATGCCAAGAAAAATTCAAGTCTCAAAAAAACTTGAGCTGATCCTAATCCAATAAACTAGCGTATCATGCATCTTCAAAGTTGGTTTTTATGGAAAAGGTTTAGAAAAATTTCAAAGTCATTTTAGAAAAAATATTCTAAAGTTTTTTGAAAAAACATTGTATTTTTGACACCATTTGAAGCTTCCTAATTATCAAAAAACCATTATACAACTCAGATTATAAAAGCGCATCATATATATCAAATGAAAAAAAATTGTCAGAAGCAATTTTTCATAAAAACTAAAAATTACCAGTTTTTTTAGGACAAATTTATGTCATTTTTAATATCTTTGTCGTAGTTTGTTGTAAAAGGGACATCTGGTTCTCAAAAAATATGAACACTATATTCTTGTTATAGATTTTCAATGTGGTAAACTTCTTTAAAAAGTTTTCCTTCCATAAAAAAAACCTTTTTCTGAAAATCTCTAATTAAGGTTTTCAGGTAATTTAACATTTTTCTAGATGAGAGCTTTTTTATACCAAAAAAATGATTTTTATTTTATGCAAAAAAAATCATTTTCAAAATCCAGATTTTTTATATAATTTTTTTATCGAACCACGATCGCATATCACAATAGAAATTGGAACAATTCAAAATTTCACCATCGTTTTAGTTTTAAAAAACAAAAAACTCAGTTTTAACAGTTTTAAAATTTTTCGGGAAACAATGGATTGAATGTTTTTGCTAGTGAAGAGCAAAACATATTTTCATTAGCAAGTCAACAATTTAAATTTGAAAATGAAAACGGATTTTTTTTCAAAAAAGTTTTTTTTTGTGAATGATACATGCGATCGGATTCTCAAGCTACTATTCGTCTGGTTGTGCAAAAGGTTGTTTCTCGATCTCGAAAAAAAAGTTTGTTGTTCAAAATATGTCAAACAGTAGTTCGTTTTCAGTGAAATTAAAAAAACTAACTTCATATATTAATAAGGATAGTCGATTGCGACCAAAAGAGTAAAACTAAATTAAAAAAAAAATTTTTTTTTTTTCAAAATTGTGCTAATTTTTGTTGTGATAAGAGGATCTAATGGAAAAGTTAGAAAAAAAGCATACTCGTCAACAGTTTTTTTTTGAAAAAAAATGGCAATTAAATTTAAGAAAAAAATGTTTTTTTTTTTCATGTTTCTGGAAACATTTTTATGATTTTTTTAAGTTCCATATCACAAAAAATTTTGAAAAAATAATTTTACTGGGGTAACACTAAATTTTCACGACTTGAATAAAAACTTATCCTTCTATTTGCTTTATTTGCTCGCTTTGTCCGCTCAAAATTATAAAAAGGATTAAAAAATTTAAACCAGTTCTGATCACAACTAGCAGATGTTTTTCAAAACTTATGAATTAAAAACAGTTTTCCCGAAAATACGCAACAGATTAGGAAAACGGCGCAAAAACGCCAAACGCTGCAATATGCGGCCACAGAGATGATATGATATAATTATAATCTTTTTAAGCCGAGAAAACAAAAAAAAAACAGAAATTCAGTCTATGATTTAATTGGATAAAAATTTGAGTGTATGCTCCAATTTGCTCAAAATTTTTATCTAAAACATTTCCATCGAGTTTAAGGGGCAGTCAAAACCTTCAGGACTTTAACCTTGAAATGAGCAACATGCTGCTTTTGGAGTCCGCAAAAAATTAAAACAACTTTCTGTGCAAACTTAAAGCTGACAAATGTAGCTGCCACTCTACGTTTCGACCTATTCTTGCCATAATTATTTTGTACGAGAATATTTTATTTTGCACTGGGAGCGTAAAATTACACTGCTAGTGTAAAATAAGACATTTTCCGACTGATGAAGTAAACTTTACCCCTTTTTCCGGCTCCGAAATTATATTAACTAAAAGGAGACAAGCTATTTGGTCTAGTTGACGCGTTACAAAACGCAAATTGTATCACTTTTTACATTTCATAGCGTGTAGCGGGCGGATTTTGAGACATTTCAAGTTTTGTTTTTTCGATTTTTTTTTCATCATTTATTAAATTAAAAACTGTCTCACAATCTTATTGAGTAGTCACTCTCCCATAACACAAAAAATTTGCAACGCATGCAAGTTTATGAGAGAGAAAAAAAACAAAAAAGGTCATTTTTGAACATTTTTTGTAATATTTTTTGACAAAGTGCGTGCTCACTCCTCGAATTTGGTGCCTACGGACGTGCAAGATGCATTTTAGACAGTTTTTAGGATTCGTTGAACAAAAATAGATGTCTTAAAACAGTACCACAGGGGGACCATTTGGGTTTTAATCCCTGAGAGGGGATGGTGACAAGGGATCTCTCAGAATCCGCCACTAAGGTAGTCGGAATTGTCTGAATTTTGCCATTAATTTAGCAATTTGATGATTAATTACTAGAAAACTAGAAAAACACAACATAAGCACCATAAAGTTCTATGGTAAATCTTTTGAATTTTCATATGTTGTACAAAGAGATGAGATAAAAGTATCATTTACTCGAAAACTGGCAAAGCTAAGCAAAAATTACATCCCAGTAGATCAGAAAACGCCAAATGCTTGCGTCATTGTCTGTCGTTACGAGTGGTTTTTACTACTTTAAAGTCGTAATTGAGTCATTACGAGATCAGTTTCACCGACCAACAGAGAAAAAACGTACAAAACAAAAATTTGATCACGACAGTCTTTTTACGCTACAACGAAGAGAAAAAATTTTAATCTTACTATAGAAGTAAAAATACTTGTTTTGACTGTTCTAGAGGTACTACTGCCGTGATTTTCATTGCTTAACTTAATAATCAACAACAGTTTATAAGACACATTAAAACGGATTCAAAGGTGAGTTTTTATTCTTTCTTGTTTTGAATTTGAAAACTTAGCATTTTCAGGTAGACCGATAATTTTTGTTATCTACAGAACTTCTGTATTCAATGGACTGTTCAAAAATTAGTTCATGAAACTTGCAGATAAATTTAATCTTGTTATGATGAAGTCTCTAAGGTTTCAGCTTCTGAATCAAAAGGCCTATGATCCAAAACTTTTGAGGGTGAGGCAACTTTATCAAACCAAAAAGTCGATAAAAAACCAGAGAACAAACCCGGTTCATTTGAGGAAGTCATTGGTTATTGTTTAGAAATGAACACAAAAACTTAAATCAAAGCTCAAAAAGTTAAATAGTTTTCAAATAAGGAGAAAATGCTAGTCCCACAATTTCACACTGTGAAAAAGTGCTAGTCGTTGGGTAATCAGACAATTTTCGGGACGTTTGAAATACTAGTTTCACAAGTGTGAAATTATATGACCAGTGTTTTTTGTCAACCCGGGGTAGCGGTTCTCCATAAATAGTTAAATCATTCGGCTCATAAGTGATTCGTTCTAAAATCATTCGGCTCTTAATTCGTTCGGCTCCTAACTCATTCGGCTTTTAGGTCATCCGGCTTTTGAGACATTCGTCTCTAAATTATCAGGCTCCCAAGTCAGTTTTTTAATTTGAGTTTATTAAAGTTGTTGTGAGGTTATCTTATCTTGTTATCTTGTTCTCATTTTGAGCTTTTACGAAGCTTGCTGATTTTTTTGCTGTTTTTTATGGAGCTACTGTATTACTTAAACACATTTAATGAAAAAAAAATATATTTCAGTCGGTTTAAAGTTTTAATTAATTTCAGAGCGATCGACTAACAGATGGAAACCATTATGGCTCCCTTGACGCCTAAAATAAAAGTTTTTATAGTCGTCAAATTCTATTTTTCACAAAATTTGAGGCGCAAAATAAAATAACATAATTTTATCCAACAGAAATTCGAATCAACGTTTGGGCAAAAGTCAATGAGAATATTTTAGGCATTGGATGAAATTAGGATTGGTGCGAAGTTGAAAGGCTTTTCCGAATCCTGCCAGGCTTCGATCCCAAATCCCGGTTTATGGGCACTCAAAAACCCATTTTAGTGGCAGTCAACGCAAACAATTAAACTCGGAAATGTGGAAGCAGAATGACAAATATCTGCAAATCAGACCTCACATATTCTATGTTAATAGGAACACCACAAATACCTTTTTGACACTACATGTATCCCACAAAACAAACGCTTAATCAAACGTTTCGGTATCTTTCAAAATAGGACCCGAATTTCGGTCGAATTGATTTTGCAACTGCCATTCAAAATAAACACCCTGCAGTTTAGTCTAACATAAGTTATGGCCTGTTTTTGTTTTTAATTCGATCGCTCTGAAAACAAGCAGATTAGAGTTTAGTTTGATGGCTTATAAAAACGTACTTTCGGCTGTTTTGCTTGGAAACCAGATTTGATTAGAAAATTTTTCACCCATTATGTCTCTATTTTGTTAACTAACAATCGAATATCTGATAAAAATTACTTTAAATTATTCGATTTTGAATTTCAACCAAATAACTAATTGATATTTCAGTTTTTTGGATTTTCTTGAACTTTTTCTAGGCAGAATAGGCGTGCCGCTGCTCCTTTTATTTTGACCGTAATTGCTCAGCTGTTAAAAACTGTGTTCACGGCTAAAAAATTTCTTAATTGTTATTTATGACAATTTTATTGTTCTCCTATTCAATTCATATCACCAAACTGGAACAAAAGGTGAGTGTTCGCTTCAATCTATTTTGCACGATGAAAAAAAAACTAAGTGACAACCGACCCCATCCCTCAGTTTTCATTACCAGGGACCAATCTGAGATTTTCCCTGCGGATGTGTTCTATAAAATTTGAAAAGTGTGTCGTTTTTTTTCTAGCTCAACCAAAATGATTTTTCGAGCTCTCCTGAAACGCCAGAACACTTAAGAAAAAAAATTGGAGAAAAAAATGCTCTGCAGGCAAACCTGAAAAAGTGAGCCAAAGCAGCCGTTTTGGGCCGATTTTGGAATGTTTCCATACAAAAAAATGCATTTTTTGGCGCACACTCATTTATTTTCAAATTGTGTAATTTTTGTTTGTGTTGTGGTGAGAAGATCTCAACAAAAGCCTGTGAATTAAGCATATTTGACCACAGTTATCGTTAAAACAATAGAAAAACAGTAAACCTATACAATTCACTTTCGAGTTAGACCTCCGGGCTGATTGACAAAACACATATAAGCGTTTTATTGAATTTTTTTCTAAAAACACACTTAAATAACACTTATTAATCTCAAATGGAAATAAATTTTCAAAATTTTTGAATATTTTTTAGCGCGAAACTTCAGTTTTTGGCAAGAGTCATGAAAAAGCCTGAGAAATGATTCTCACGTCAAACCCATTGCTGATTGATGTCATGTAAAATGTTTTCAGTTATTTACGGATGCTAAGACAAATCCAAGTCACAAAAAAATTTGAGCTGATCTTCATCCAATAAACTTGCGTATCATGCAACTTCAAAGTTGGTTTCTATGAAAAAGGCTTAGTCAATTTTCAAACTAATTTTTGAAAAACTATTTTAAAGTTTTTTGAAAAAACATTGCTTTTGTGACACCATTTGAAGCTTCCTGATTATCAAAAAACCATTATACAACTCAGATTTAAAAAAGCGCATCATAAATATCAAATGAAAAAAAAGTTTGTCAGAAGCAATTTTTCACAAAAACTAAAAATTACCAGTTTTTTTAGGACAAACTTAGGTCATTTTTAATATCTTTGCCGTAGTTTGTTGTAAAAGGGACATCTGGTCCTCAAAAAATACGAACACTATATTTTTGTTATAGATTTTCAATGTGGTAAACTTCTTTAAAAAGTTTTCCTTCCATAAAAAAAACCTTTTTCTGAAAATCTCTAATTAAGGTTTTCAGGTAATTTAATTTTTTTCTAGATGAGAGCTTTTTTATATCAAAAAATTGATTTTTATTTTATGCAAAAAAAATCATTTTCAAAATCCAGATTTTTTATATAATTTTTTTATCGAACCACGGATAAGAAAATGGAACAATTCAAAATTTCACCATTGTTTTAGTTTTATAAAACAAAAAACTCAGTTTTAACAGTTTTAAAATTTTTCGGGAAACATTAGATTGAATGTTTTTGCTAGTGAAGAGCAAAACATATTTTCATTAGCAAGTCAACAATTTAAATTTGAAAATGAAAACGGATTTTTTTTCAAAAAAGTTTGCTTTTTTGTGAATGATACATGCGATCAGATTCTCAAGCTACTATTCGTCTGGTTGTGCAAAAGGTTGTTTCTCAATCTCGAAAAAAAAATTGTTGTTCAAAAAATGTCAAACAGTAGTTCGGTTTCAGTTAAATTAAAAAAAACTAAGTTCATATATTAATAAGGATAGTCGATTGCGACCAAAAGAGTAAAACTAGATTAAAAAAAAAGTGTTTTTTGTTTCAAAATTGTGCTAATTTTTGTTGTGAGAAGAGGATCTAATGGAAAAGTTAGAATAAAAGCATACTCGTCAACAGTTTTTGTTGGAAAAAAAGAATGGCAATTAAATTTAAGAAAAAAATGTTTTTTTTTCATGTTTCTGGAAACATTTTTATGATTTTTTAAGTTCCATATCACAAAAAAATTTTGAAAAAATAATTTTACTGGGGTAATACTAAATTTTCACGACTTGAATAAAAACTTATCCTTCTATTTGCTTTATTTGCTCGCTTTGTCCGCTCAAAATTAGAGAAAAGGTTAAAAAAATTTAAACCGGTTCTTATCACAACTAGCAGATGTTTTTGAAAACTTTATCAGTCATTAAAAAAACCATTCAAGAGGCCTTAAGGTATTACAGTACTCAACCCGTTTCGATAGTTATTTGTGGTACTTAATTTTGAGCAAAAAACATACTAAATTTGCTTTAAAAAGTAATCATTCAACCTAAGACAAAGTTGCTTCGAATTTTCAGTGATCAGACAAAAAAACTAATTATGAGTGGTTTGAATGGCTTTTTTTTAAAGAAAGAGTCTCTGGTTTTTCTGTTTCTTTCCTGCCTTACAGATTTTTATAGGGCTAGGTGCTGCTTCTGAATCTGGTTGTGTCAACTAGTTGCTTTGAAAATGATCCTAAAGAAAATTTTCCACGCGAAGGACCCGACTGCTAATGGATTTCAATTTATTCGGCTTGTCAATAGCCAAAATCTAATTGTTAATTTTGTTCCGACCGGTGTGTTTTAGTTTCTTTTCTTTATTTTTATTTTAAAGATTGTTTTCCAAATCAGGTGTCACAAATAATCTTTGAACTGGGCTGAATTGTATATCATGTTCAAGCTCTTTCAATTGTGATTTGAACGAAAGTAGAAAAATTCTCAATAAAAATTCCGTTTGAGAAAAACCGAAATTTTTGATTCGTCTATTTTTGAGCGAGTTAAGCGATCGAGTAACTTTCGTTGTATGCTAATTACCAATTTCAGTTAAAAACATATATTTTTTTTAAAAAAAATATAGTTATGGATGCTTTATATAGCGTTTCGCTGGCAAAAAAAACTTTCGAAAATATTTGAAATCTTTTGCGCAAAAACTTGAAAAAGAAAACTTCAAAATTTTTTTGAAAACCTTTTTTAAATATTTTTCGTTTACTTAAATTTTTTAATACAATTGTAATCATTTATGCTTAAATCAGTAAATTTATACGCGTTTGTATAGCTCTATCATCACACGACGTACAAGAAAAGACACTAACTTGAAAAAAAAATCAGAGAATGTGGTCGGAACGTTCTGCGCTACTTGCTCAGCAACCGCCTATCTTTGTTTCCTTTTGGTTTTATTCTATGATCGCAGTTTTTTTTTACCCTAAAGTTTAACAAAAGGTTTCTTTACGCCAAAATACACTTCATTTAAAGGGGAGCGCCCGCCTTTCGAAAACGGCACTCAATACCTTTCGAAAAAGGTAGCCCTTAATACTATTTTACAACATCCGATTTTGGCTCTACAACACTCAAAACTTTAGCTTGGCTTCTGGGGCTCCAATATACACAAAAATTGAGGAGGAAGCGCACGCCGTAAAAACGCAATGTGTTCGTCGCAAAACCTTTCAAAACGGCATTTTAGGGCTTTTTTTTTACAAAATTTGTTGCGAAAAACTTTTGAGCAAAACAAGGTCATTATAATATTTTATGAAAGCTCGGAAAACCTAATGTGGTCAGTCCAAAAAATAGGTCGACAAAAACTATTGATGTTTTTTTTTGTAAAAATCAACCTAAACATTTCCTAAGCGCGCCATTGGCTTGCTTGTTTTCTGTTTATCTAGTTTGTTTCTGTCTCTAGAATGGCTAGTGAAGATCAGCATCAGTTTACAGAAGAAGAAATCGGGGAATTCAGAGAAGCGTTCTCCCTTTTCGACAAGGTAGAGATCTATTTTTACAAGGAACTACGCATTTTCAGCAAAAAAATTGAAGAGAACAAATTTAACATTTGTATCTCAAACAGCTCGCAGGAAAGCCACTAAAAGTCCACTGATGATAGAATTATATCCATTTAAATTTGAACCTCGTTAGAGAAATTTATGAAAATTAATTAGAAAAACCAAGTTAATTATTTTTCAGCGGATATCCGAATCATTTTGCAGTTGCAAAAGCAAAATTTTTGTTCAACTTTTAATGAAAACGATGGTTATATCCGAACCATTTCGCAGAACTTTTGTTCAACTTTGGATAACTTGATAGTATGGAATATGATGCTTGCTTTGAGGACGGGGATGGAACTATCACCACTTCTGAACTGGGTACAGTGATGAGGTCTCTAGGGCAGTCGCCCACAGAGCAGGAACTTCAGGACATGATCAACGAGGTAGGGACACGAAGGCTAGTTATACGCGCTCTTGTCAACCTAATAGTCAACCTCCGAGTTAGGCCTCCGAGCTGATTGGCTAAAAAAATTAAAAGTATTTTGTGAAATTCATTCCTAAAAAAAACACTTGAATAACACTTATTAATCGCAAGCTGAAAAACATTTTCAGCATTTTTTGATACAACCCTTTTATAAAGCCTTGAATTTTCAGTCTGTTTTTTAAGAGATTCATGAAATTTTACCCTTAAATGATCAGATTTTGAAATAAGTTTGGTCAACTTGAGCTGTTTTTGAGCGTTTTCAACAAGTATTAGGTGATCTAAAAGGGACGGAGAAATTGAACTGAAAAAGTAGTAACTCCAAGTCTAGCTCAATGTTCCAATTGATCTTAACCTTTTTCTTTTTATCATTTTCTGAAGCAAAAAATCTTTCACAAAGTTCCAATTCTCGTAGTTTTCAAAACCCTAGCCCTACTAAGCGCAAAGATTTTCTTTCTATTCTAACACGTGTTCAACAGAATAAAATTTTGACTTTGAAAGCTTACATTTGCTGAGTTTAGAGGTCTATTTCGGCAAAAAGTGTTAGGCGAAGGGGTCGGCGAAAACGTTGTAAAGATCAGGTATTATCACAAGTCCATCATCACCAGCTGTCATAGCTGAATTGTCATGATTCACACTTTCATGCTATTCAATCCTGTCACAACGCGTTCGGCAGTTTTCGTAAAACTTCATCCCAAAAATTTTTGGCTGAAAAATCCGGATTTTTTTGCCTATTCCAAACATTGGAAGATTAATTTCAATCGGACATTAGAATGTTAGACGTCGTTTCTTGTAAGTATACCAATTACGGCTGAGGGGAGCGTCAACTCCAATTCACAGCAGAATAATTGAGCAAAAATTAATACTTAATTTCAGGGGCAGATCCAGAGTTTTGCCGAGGGGGAGCGGATTTGTGACAAAGTGACAAAATGGATTGTGACAATAATGAAGATTAATAAAATTTTTTAATAATATTTCTCCGCATAAGATCTGTCTGTGAAGCAGTTGATGGTTTAAAAGTAACTTTTTCACTCTTCTGTTGAGAGCCGTTGACTGGAAGTTCTTCCCAAAGCAAAAAATATATAGGTAGCGCTCAATCAAAAAAGCTTAAAGAGCACTAGACACTAAGTTTGGGCGGTATTTTTATTTTTGGGTAAATAGTCTCGAAATTGCGCCGACTTATTTTTTTTCTGCTTAGCCTCCCTATACTGCAATTTTTCTGTCCTTTTTTTTGAGACATTTACAAGCTATTATGGCTAAATAAGAGCAATATCATGGAGAGGAGTATGAACAAAAAAGCGCTCACTACTGAATAGTTAACTTGTTCACGCCACCTCAATTTAATTTCATTATGCAACGCTAATTTGGTAATTCAAAATTGAAGATCAAAATTTGAGTGGGTGGGAAAGAGTCATTGGTTTGATTGTACCAGGTGGATGGCGACGGGAATGGGCTGATAGACTTCCAGGAATTTCTGCAGATGATGAGTCGGAAGGCGGGCGAGGGGGACGAGGAGGAAGAGATCAAAGAGGCCTTCAAGGTGTTTGACCAGGACGGCAACGGACTCATCGACCGAAACGAACTCAAGTATGCCACTACGTATATTAAAAGAATTAAGATAAGAGCGCGTTTTTTAATACATTCTCACTTGAGATTTATGCGCTCTCAGAACTCTCAAACTTTAATTTTAACAGAAAAAATTTTAAAAGATAATTCAATATTTTGCAGATCTTAAATGAAAAAAAAAATAGCTTGAAGCTGGGGCATAAACAGCCAACACAAAAGTAATAAATAGAAAAAAAAAACGAAAATTTCAACAAAAATTTTGACGACTTTTTTTAGGTCGACCAAATTGATTTTTCGAGCTCTTTTAAAGCACTAAAAAGACGCTGTTTTGGCCAAATTAAAAAAAAACACGTCAAAAAGCCGTTTTTGGGCACTTTTGTGAACATTTTTGCAAAAAAAATCGCGTTTTTTTGGCTCGCGCTTCCCCACAAAAACAGTATATATTGGCTTCCCCACAAAAACAGTATATATTGGCGCCGTGCGATGTGTCTCAAGCTGATGCTATCGCATTAAATAAAACAAAAAATTTTGGAATAATGATTCAATTTTTCTAATAACATATATATTTTTTTTTAATATCGCAAGCGCAAAATTAAAACTGGTCAACTTGTTTGCAACAAAAAGTATTTGAGTTTCTACTTTCCTGATTTGATTTTGTGTTGTTAAGAAACATCATGTTGAATCTTGGGGAGAGATTGACAGATGAAGAGTGTGATCAGATGATCAAAGAGGCCGACTTGGACGGAGACGGATTCGTCAACCTCGAAGAGTTCATCATAATGATGAAGCCCAGATGATCAGAGCCAAACAATCAAACAAAACGCAACCTATCATTTCATACTTTTGTTTTACATTTGTAAGAAGCTAGTTAACCATGAACAAATTTGAAGTTTCAAACTGTTGTAAGTCGCATTTCAACCAAAGTATAACATTTACAAAAAAGATTACAAAAAAAACTAAAGAATATCCGGTTTGAAAAAAAAATACAAGGACATTTTTCGAAAATTTCTTCGAACTAAAAAGACAAAGGCAAAGATTTTTACAAAAAGTCAACTGTGTGCATGCTACAAAATTTTACTTTTGCTTGTATAATCAGATCAAAACCTATGAGTATCAATAGATTTTGATCTGTTGTATCGCCAAAAAACATGAATCACCAAAAAATTGGCCAACATTAAAAATTTTCTTTGCCAATATAACTAAATTTGGATAGGGAGCGCGCGCCAAAAAAACGCACTTTTTTGGTTCAATATTTTAGCAGTCAAAACGTCATTTTTAGCATATTTCTTCAAAAATTTGCCTGCGGCGCACAAAATTGTTGACCTCGAGAAATCAAATTGCTTGAACTAAGAAAAAAAAGTTGTTCAAGAAACCGCCCCACTCCATAGAAAAGTTTCTGCGCATGTCACTTATCTAAGCAATGATGGATATTCGTTTTTTAATAGCTATCAAGGAAATGATACAGAAAAATTTACAAATGTCATTTTTTACCCAATAAATGAGTGATTTTTTAGCAAAAACACTTAAATTTCTAGGGTTTCAATCAGAAAGAAGAAAAACGAAGAAAAATAGAAGAAAAATTTTCAAAAAGTCATAAATTACAGAAATATTATCTCAAATTAAAAATATTACTTCAATAATAGCAGAAAGTTATAAGCAACTGGAAATTTGCGAAAATCAAAACAATAAGCCTTAGAAGGAATATAAAAGGGCGCTTTCTAAGGAAAAACAAAGAGGAGAATGCTTTGCGAATTAGAGAAAAATGATAAAAGTACTGAAAGAAAAAAAAACAACTTTCCACTTTACGAGGCCAAATAATGCACTGGATAAGCGCACAATTTTGTGTCTGTATGGTCCTGGATTCCAGAGACAAGTCTTAAAACATGTTAAATTTGTGTCGGAACGATCGAAGGAAATGAAAGAGCAAAAGAAGAACAGGGAGAGTCCTTGTAGTGGAATCCGCTTACTTTTCCCAAAAAGCACAGTTTGGCCTCGTAATGCAAAATCTGGTTTATTTCAATTGATAGAAGTTCATCTCATGTTTTGAAAACCCTCGTCAAAATATGTTAGTTTGAAAGACCAAGTTTGTCGTAAAAAAAACAGACCGAGCAGGAAAATTTCATTTAGTAGAATATGATCAGAGGCGGAAAAAAACATGAAAATGATGAGAAGCGGAAAATTACAAGATTATAATGAGAAGCGGAAAACAATATGCTGCATAAGATATTGCAATTATTATTGCGAAACCAAAAATCTGAAAAAAGCCGACAAAAATTGAAACAAGAAAGCGATTTGAGGTCAGCGTACAATAAAGGCCAGCAATCAAACTCTTCATGTCACGAATATCAACATCCCTGCTCTCTAGCTGCCCTAAAAAATTTAAAACCTACCATGAAGATCAAAATTCTGATGAAAACAATATCGTCCTCTCTGACGCCTATGCACACTCCCATCTATAATAATCCAAAGTTCCTAAGGACCAACAAACAGACGAAAAAATTGAATACGTGTTAAACCAACTTAACGACCATCATCAAACTAAGCTCCTATACGAAGGTAATTTGTCTGCATCATCACCAGATATTTCCTTGAACACCAGACTGAGGACGTTTTAGCAGAGAAAGTCTTGCAAAATGATGTAAACGCTGTAGAACGGATCTTTTGTGACACAATTTTTGCTGCAGTCTGTCTTACATTCCTAATGACCGGCATTGTTCCATTGATCCAGTCCTAAGCCAAGAACAAAAGATTCTTGAACACCAAAGAGATGAAATTATAAATTTTAAATTATTCGACGCTTTTTTAATGACTTAAGCAAAGAGATCATGGCCAAAATTTCAAAAGAAAACGATACGAAAAAAGGAAAAATCCTCCAGTTTTTCAATCAAGAAACGTCGCCAATTAAACTCCGAAAAAAAGTTCGGTCTTTAAATGGCAGCAGGTAAATTGTAGGAACACAGCCAATTAATTTAAATGATAAAAAAATTTTCTGCTGGTAGACCTTGCAAACGCTCTAAACGTGCAATATATTATTTAATCAATCCGCACCGATAAAAAAGCTAACGAAAACCTTTAAAAAAATTCCCTAAACTTGAAGGCTATTTACGTTTTATCACACTGGAAACTAGAAACAACACCGAAGCAGCAAATCCCTCCGAAACACTAGGAACGAATGATCTATGTACAGTCCACCTCAATCACACCAGTATTAGCAATAGCCTTTTCAACGAATGTTTTCAGTCTTTTGCTCTCTTTAAAGAAAATTTGCCAAAATTGGAAAAAAAAATTTAAAAAGTACTTCGCCCAAAAACTTAACAAAGATCTCAAAATGTCAGACTTGCACCACCCATTCTCATGTTGAGCCAAGTTGTCTTTAATCCATCACACACTAACCAAGTTCCTACCCAAAGCTGATCAGCAACATGACTTTCGCACTTTCATCTAGTGTTTTTTTTCACAAAGAGGCAAATCTAATAACTCGAAAAACATAACCAACAGAATTTGGAGAAAATTTGAAAGAAAATTAAATGATTGAAAAAATGTAGGTGATACCTTCTATCGGTTTTTTCAATTGAACTCAAAAGTAAGTTTGACAGCAGGGCAGTAGAATTTTCTCGCAAGACTGCCACTTGCTAAAATCGTTGGCGGAAACCTTTATTATGCCAGGTAAACCCCCACAATATTTTTTTCCGTTTGATCTTCACATATGAGATTTGCCAGGTAGTTTTCGAGAAAAGTGAAAAATTTTGCTAAAATGAAAAACGGTTAAAATTTCAGAACAGGTTTTCTATCAGAAAAAAAAGTGACGCAACTTTAGTGAGAAATATTTTTGCAACCAGTTCCTCCGACTGAATCCTTATGCACAGATTCGTGATGTAGTTTTTAGACAAAAAAGAACCAAAAAGCTTGCAAAATGCGGTCACAAAAATAATCAGTATGAAGCCCGCGAAAGCTATAACTTTTGATCTAAAGAATAGGGAAGACTGGCATAGGCAGCGAATAAACCTATAACCTGCGTTTTGATTGAACTATTAATCTGAGAACTGTCAGGGTAGTTTTAGTTTTCGAGAAAAGTCAAAAGTTTCAGAACAAGTTAAAAAATCATAAGAATTTTTTTCCCGAAGGTCGTAACATTCTTTCCTATTACAATTAGGCGATGGCCACTGAAGCATGAGAGCTTTCCCTATCCAGTTTTTCCGATTGAATTTGAATTTTCAGCTTTGGTACTCAACGAGTAAACTCAAAAAATTCGAACTGAATACCAAAATTGGCCGATCATGCAAAGCAGCGCAACATAAGCCAGCTATGCAATTGAACTCAAAATCTCAGCTTTTGAAGTTTTTTTTGATAGAAATCAAGTTTTCGAAAAACGCCAAAAACAAAAAAAAAGTTGACATTTCCAGGTGCCATAATTTTTGGCAAAGAAAAAACTTTGCCTAAGCCGTAATGCAGGTGAGCTTCCAACAACCGGTTCTTTCGATTGAAATCACGATCTCGTTTTCAAACAGTAAATTCAGTGAAAAAATAAATGTTTTACAAAAATGGTCAAAATGGTGTTACACAAAAACAATTAATGTGTTTTAGAAAAATGGTCGAAATGGTGAAAAAATTGAACGTAGTCGCTGATGCAGGAATGCTTTCAATAAAAACTGATCTTCCGATTGGACACAAAAAAATCTCAGATCAAACCGACTAGTTTTTGAGAAAATGAACAAACTCCAGAAACATGGGCCAAAAATTCTCCCCCTCCCCCGCAGTTTTTCGAAGGCTGTAGAAGGTGAAGTATAGTAAAAAGGAAAAGGGAAAAACAGGCACACAAAAAACTGAGTTGATACCGATTCCATGGTACCATTTATACTACTGATGACATTTTTTTGAAAATCGGTCAAGTGGCTTCTGATAAAAAACTAAACTTTTTGAGAAAAGTACAAAAAATTTGCAAAGCCTATCACAAGAAAATTGAAAAAAAAAAACAAGAAATCAAAACTGTTGTTGCAAAAGAGTTTTACGATTTTAAGTTTTGACACTCAAAAATTTCACAACCCACCCTCCTAATTCCTACAAAAATAAATAAAAAGTTTTTGCCTTTGAAACAGCGCAATACAGGATGATCATGCTAATACAACATGAGCTGAAAAACTGATAGAAAAAAAATAGAAAAGAAATAAATAAAATTATTCAAATTCAGATTTTTACAAAATACAAAACACTTTTCAATCACATTGGAAACGGCTAAAAACAAAAGCCATTCTTTCAAAATTAGGCTGCTTAACAAACGTACCTGATAAAATGTGACGCACTGGACAGAAATGAGCCGAAAAATAGGACGGAAGCCGCGAATCCGGAAAAATTTCATCTTTTTTGAACAAATTCATTTGAAAAAAAAAATAGTACTAAGATTTTTTACGTTGATAGTCGTCAAAATAGTTTTATTTCAATTTTCAACAAATTGAGCTTTTCAACACAGTCTGCAGCTGAAAATAAATGGAGTAGTTTTTTGTCAGAAAATGTTCACGGGAAAAAAGTGAAGTTTCCGATTACAAGTGCACTTGTTGTCGCAAGTGAAATCAGTGAAATATCAAACTAAGAAAGTCCACCAAATAATACAGTTCCGGCCACGCTTGATTCATCAAAGGTTTTCGTCATGGTCAGCTATGGAACCGTCCTGGATCTCCTTTATGGCACCAGCGTACTAGAAAGCCTAACTAAGTGGTTGTCAAACTAAGTGAGTGGGCTTTGATTAACGATGTACAGAAAAACCTTGTCAAATTCTAGGATTTTGTGTACAGGCAACTCCCAAGTTTCAGTCTTATCCCCAAAATTTATGTTTTTTGCGTTAATGTCGCTCCTATATGACCCTCGATGTAAAACTGCAGTCCTACGCGGATGGCTTCCATCCTTTTGATCCAAGGATTTTTATTCAATTATCTAACTAAATTGTACAAAAGATTTGAACTCCAGATACTTTTTTCTCCCTAAGTTTTGGCGAGAATTTTATTCTGTTATTAGCGATCTGCTACAAGATGTTTACACCAATCTGAATGTGGAAATGAACCACGCAAATCTGCTTTTTGAGAAATATCCTAATTTACTTGGAGTTTTCATCGACCCCTGCCAAAATTTCGCTAATCATCCCAAGCAAATATCCACAAAAGCCAAGTGCAGGATATCAATCCTGATGGCTCTATCCGGGACTCAATGGGCCAGTCCAAAAAAAACGTTGCTGGTAACGTTTAAAGATGTGATAACACAAATTTCAGATAATGCGGACCCTGCCTCGTCTCAAGCTGAAAGTAAGAAACATTTTTACAAATTGCAAACAGTTCAAATGAATATGCTGCACAAATATGAGCGCAAAAAAGCTCTATTTTCGGAATGAAATTTTTTGAATATGCACAGCCACTATCAGCTGCCGTCGCAGTTTGCTCTTAATACCTTCGTTTCATCCAACCCACAACTTTTTAAGCACTATTATTTTGAACTGCTCCGGAATATTCGCCATTTGGTGCTTAACTCATACGCCTTAAAATAGACACCATCCTATCCGCAGCTATTACTCCTCAGTTTTTCAGAAATTAGTTCACTAAATATTTTGAAAGGTTGCTTCAAAAGCAAATACACGAATAGATTCAGCCAGGACACCTAAAAAAGCACTACCCCTTACACCACCTTTTCAACTGTTCACAGAACACCATTTTTTCAACCCCAATGGACTTGTGATTTTCGTCCGATCGCAGTTGCGACATTTCTGTGGCTTGGTTTTAGCATGACTGAGGTAAATCATCGAGCTAAAAACAACAACACTTGCCCGTACCCGATCAAAAGAAGAGATATTTCTGAATGATGAGTATTAAACGCTTTAATTGCAGCGCTGTTACATGCTTCTTCTAGTGAACTCAACTCGGTGAGTTAAACTAGGTATTAACGGCACCGCTATTGCGTTAACTGCTATAAACCTTTTAGGCAATCTCTACAAAATAGCCATCATATAGAGCAAAAAGTGTCTGTGGTCGACAGTTTTTGAAAAAAAAAATGACCGAGTTTAAGAAAATGGGTGCAGTAAATTTTTCCCGCTAAAATTTCGGAAAACTCAAAATCATTTTTACAACAATCAACAATCTGTGTGAACAAACTTTCTGACTTTTTCTTGAAAAAATGTTTTAAAAAATCAACAACACTTACTTAAATGTCTTAAATACTTTTTTGAGACTTTCTTATTAAATGACTCCCTGAATTACAAAAGACAAACGACTTTAAATTTCAGTAACCCAAAGTCAATTATAGATTTTTATACAACTGATTTTTTTCGGCTCTTTTTTCACATGAAAATTGATTCGGACTTATTACGAAATGACAAATTTTTATTCTCCGTATTTAACTTTTTAAACCATTTGCACCATAAAAATGATGCTATCGTGCGAGGTTACGAACCATTTCTCCAATATACAGATTTGCTTTGCAACAACGCGATCAATTCCTATTTTTCATTCCAATGGCGATCTTCAAATTAAAAGTTCACTTATAGAACTTCTTCGATGTTTTTATTGCAAATTAATCGTTGCAATAAATTACTACTACTGCTTTTTTCTAATTTCTAACTTTCATTTGCCACGGTTTCGCACAACCTGTCTCAAATAAAATTGATATTGACATACCGAATTCTCTATGTACATGTATTTTGTTATAGGATGCGCCAATTTGAGAAAGACCAGTTTTTAAATTTGAAAAACCAAACTCGAGAAAATCATGCTAACAAATTATGTGATAGGTCTGTAGATTGAATTTCGAGATACTGATGAAAAAAGAAAAAAAGGTTCAAAAAATTTTCAAGGTATCTCACAATTTAATTTTTCACAATAAAACTTATTCTACGACAAACCCAGTGTAACGCTAGTTTCCCGCCATTTTTTCACAATCGAGAATGGATCAAGGGTTCTATTATGCAAGGGGCGCATTATTATGTCGTCCAAACAGTTTTACGAGAAAACTCACTTTTGCAGTTTTTGGACACTTTTTGCCCAAAAGCACGCCCCTAACAAATCAAAAGCGCCTTTGAAACAATTGTGGGTATAGTCAGACAAAACGCGCGCAATAAAAAACCGCTGAAGGTACTCTTTGATCCGACGAGATGCCCAAGTCCTGATCGAAGGATCCGATTTTCTATTGCGTTAACACGCGCGCTAAATGAATTAAATATCATCACACAAGCGAAGCTCTACTTCTCAAAGTACTGCAAATTGAAGCAAAAAAGTAGCTCTTAAAAGTGAAAAAAAAAAGAATTAAATGGGAAAACAAGGATAGCCGGACACTGTGCAAGTAGCACAGAATGTTCCGACCATGGTCTTAAAAATACAAGAACGTTTTTTCTAGAACTTAGGAATAATCGGCAGTCATCAAACATATGCAAATTGGAAAAAATGAATAGAAAAACGAATAAAACTTCGTATGAATCAAGAAAAACAATCAAAAGTTTTTGATTCCCAAAATGGAGCAAACTAACTGTTTTCATGGCTTCAACTAAGCAAAAATAAAATATTTCAAGCCTGCTCGCACTTTATTTGTTCGAAATTGTACCAAAAATAAAAAATTTGAAGTGGGTTTTTCTCGACACTGGTGAATTTGTTCAAAAAGTTTTAATGTCGTTCAAATCACGACTGAACGGGGACATTTTCGGAAGATAATTTGTTGAACCTGATCTTGCGTGGAAAACAAAAAAAAAAGAAAAAACTAAAGCACACCCCCAATTTCAATGGTCGAATCAATATGCCTTGAAAAATCGAACTTCACTATGTTGCGTACTCGAAATCCGATACAACAACAACCACTCGCGATCCAACACAAATATAAAAAATTTCAAGTTGAAAAATTCGAAAATCTTGATTAAAAAAAACTAGGTGAACCAAAACTTTTGTATGTCTCGATAAGACAACCAGAGGCCCAGCTTAAGCTGGGAGTACATTTTTCTTGGTTTTTGAATTTGTTATACTGATTCGGGATGAACTACATTCATTGACTCTTAAAAAACTGATAAAACCTACCGTTATTAACCTAGTAAAAACGGTCTAATAAACATATATTTACCTCTATTAACACACGAATTATGTACACTATTTATATTTATACATTAATTTGCAGATTTTTATTCAAACTACCTAATTGTTTATACACACGAGCTTTATCGAAGCCATACAAGTCCAAACTTTGCAGTCCTTTCACTTTTAATATCATCGCCTTCAGAGATTCGATCGACACTTTAGACTGGCATGACGACAACTTCACTTCTTCTATCTTCGGACAATGATCACCTATTATATTACAAGTTTCACTCGAAACTTTAGTAGCAGACAAGCCTAGTTTTCTCATTATAACACGAGTATCGACTAGGAGCCTCATTGCACCTTCGTCAGAAATTTTAGAGCACCCGTCAACTTCCAGTACTGAGAGATTCATGCAATAGCCTCCTAAATTGGCCATGGCGAAATCAGTTAGCTGAGTGCAGTTGCTAATGTTTAAGCTTGTTAAGCGTCTGCAGTAAAATGCCAGCGAATAAATACCCTCATCTGTGATATTTCGACTACTTCTTATATCAACTTCTCGCAAATCTTTCAAAGTCGTTGCAAACACTTGCAAAGTTTCATCTCTTACGAAGGGGATGTTTCCGAGATGTATAACTTGCAGGTTCGGTGTGAACGTCGGTAGTTTCAGCAAAGATCGATCCAATTTGAAGCACCCAAATAAGTTAAGTCTTGTTAGTGTCTTGCCATGTTTTTCAACCACCAATGTCATACACTCATCCGTTATCGATGAACATCCATTTACTGACAAAGCTTGCAAGCCATCAACATGATCACAAAAGGCAACCAACGTATGCGGTCCCAAATTGGACCAGCTTGTGTCTAAATTAACCAACTTTGAACATCTAGTTCCAGCGTGAACTAAAATTGTGTTCGCGTTGCAATCTCGAGACGTGCATCCTGCAATATTCAATTCCTGCAGAGTTTCGCTCACTTCTCGGAAAAACGTTCTCAAATGCTCGTCTCGTACGTCAATGAACTCACATTGCAGAAATGAAATACTTTTAGGCCCCTTCATTTGAATTGACTTCAAATTATCAGCAGTTAATTTCTTTCCGCGCACAATAACGTTGCTCCAAAGAGTGAAATCAGAAGCCAAGTCGTTAAGACTCTTACAAGTAGATCCAAGAGTACATCTTTCACCTGATGATAATAGACTCATAATGTATAGCCAGATCTCTGGAGGCAGCATTAGCCACATATCCTTCTCAGCGTTGTTCATAGTCCTCGGAGACGCCAAAAGATTTCCACATGCCTCTCTTGTTGCTGCGCCGCTGATGCTTGGCGTTGATAATACGGATCGGTGTATAAGGGAAGCATGCAACTTGGTCATGTAATTTGAGAACAATTCGTCTTTTTGGGTTCTGCTTCTTGGTGACGATTGCGCAGTTCCTGGAGATGGAGATCTGGATCGTCGTTGCGGCGAGGGGTCTCGAAGGTACGGACTGGCACGATTGGCCGGCGACTGTCTGGTTCTGTCCCTGGCTGCAGGCGAATGATTTGTCTGGTTTCTTGAAGCCGTATTGCTAGCACTACCACTAAGTTGTCTCGAACGACCATTGCTCTTTTTAGCACTACTGGGTCTCACCAAATGAGGTGATTGTGACCGCGTTTTTATACCAGTTCCTGCTAAATTAATGCCCTGAGGTGTTAATTCATTAGCGTATTGGTTATCACGATTTTGAGATGATCCTCGCACTGGTGCCTTTGGAGGTCCGCTATGAGCTTTCGGTGCTTCTTTCACGTTTACAAGTCTTGGAGCAGACATCAAATTATACGAGGGATGAGCTAGGCTCTCGTTTTGTGTGCTTTCATTTTGCGCAGCGCTCCCAGGCTGCGTTCTGTAATACGAAGATCCCTGATAAATCGCAGCCTGTGGCTTTGAGGCCGAATTTCGTGTCGCAGACCTAGCACCATTCGATGCACTTTGCCTTGCTGAGCCTTGTCGTGGTTCTCGTGATTGTTTCTGTCCTCCTTGGCTATCAGACTGTATCCCTGGATTCTTACTCGCAGCCATTGCACTGCCTGATGGGCCCTGTCTGTTAGATACATTGTTAGGCTCTTGAATCCTGCCAGTAGGCGACCTTGACCTTCGCTGTGACCTTGGTCGAGGTGACGTTGGGTGGTTCCTGTTCGTGGGCGACCTGGAACTTGAGTGACCTCTACTGTTTGGTCTTTGTCGTCTCTGTTCTTTTCTTTGTTGTTCCCCCAAACTGTCCTCAGGCTGGTTCTCTTTGTTATTTCTCAGTGAGTCCCGTTTCTCGGAACCATCTTTAGTTTTTTCCTCCGGTTTCTGCATAACATTTCAAATTAGAATTTATGTTTTGTTAATTCAATTACCCTTGGTTACTTTAACTTGATGATCGAAAGTTTTGGATATCTAAAAACGCACGTGATCATTTTTCTTCTTGGTTTATTCTTAGTCGTATGGTCAGTTACACTCGAATTTAATCTCAGCTCAATGAGGCGGAAAACTCTTTAAGTCCTACCTCGATGACCATTACTTCTCCAGAAACATAAGTCGAAGAAAATGGCTCTTTTCCACCCACACCACCCACCCCCCCCCCCCCCTCATACTGAAATTCAGTTTGAAAAACTGTTTTTACGCTGTAATAAGGTAATGAAATATTGCATGGTGAACAAATTAACTATGGTGAACAGATTTAATCTCACAACTTACATCGTAGCTTCAAGCATTCAGCCATAAGAACACGAGGCTCTTTTCCAATTCCCCCCTTTCAAATTCAATTTTGAAAAGTCTATTTAACGTTGTCATAATGGAATTAAATTTGGCGTGTTGAACAAATCGACAGTTCTGAACAGATTTGTTCTTCATACTTTACAGCGTAACATCACGCGTTTAGCCGTAATAACACGTAAAACAAACATAAAACTCGGTATTTTGAAAAGGGGGGGGGGGAACTGGAAAAGAGCCGAACACGAAAGACAAGTTAAAAAAAGGAAAATTTGAATAGTGGGGACTGGAGTGGAAAAAGTCAAGAAACGGTTTTTTAAAAACGAGGATAGCCGGTTGCAGTGCAAAAAGCCAAGCATGGGCTCTTTTTCCTTCCCCCCCCACCTCAGACGAGCTACAATTTTTTAGTGTAACGAGTGGTTTTAAGAGGTCGATTATGAAGACCAAATATATTTGTCATGGCCTAATTAGTCCATATGTCAATTTTCATAACAATCGGACAATGTGGTCAACAAACTTACTTGTAAAAATTTGCAGGTGGGGGAAAAAAGGAAAAAGAGCCCAAGCATGTTCCGACCACATTCGAAAAAATATTATTATTGGTGCGGTATATTAAAATGGGTAATTTCAAAAGTAGGACTTTACCTAAAACCTTAGTTGTTTCTATGATTAAATAAGTAAGAAGTCAAAAACTTTTGAGATATTGGAATTTTCTCAAATACGTAACATTTCACTTTTATATTTCGATAAAACTAACGCTGAAGGTACGTGATTAACACTTTTTGAATATGGTATACTGATTCTGTATACTGAAAAGGGTAATTTCAAGAGTAGGACTTTGCCCAAAACTTTGGTTGTTTCTCTACTTAAATAAATGAGAAAAGTGAAATATTTTTGATATATTGTAATTTTCTCAAAAACTTAACATTTCTCTGACAAAAAATTAGGGATTCGCCGTCGCTGTGGGAAAAATTATCGCAACCAGTTGTTGATGTAACCCTTCATCTTAGAATTGATAAAGAACTTTTGAAGAAAAAACAAAAAGTTTCTAAAGCACGGCCAACAGTTGTAAAATTTCACTAGCCAAAATCCATAACTTTTTATTAAGGTAACTTCAAGGCAACTTCAGCAGATGAAATTTCTCGATTGGCCACCTAACCTGAGGACTGGCAGGGTAGTTATCGAGAAAAAAAAAAGTTTCCAGAAACGGTCAAAAAATCAAAAACTTGATTTGTCCGAAAGTCTTAGCTTTTTGTGTTGAAAAAATGGTCGTAGCCGTTTATGCAGCAGAGATTTAGGCAATCTTTCATTTGATTGTACCGTTCAACTCAAATTTGGGAGGATATTTCGAGAAAAGTTTCAGAAAACGGTCAAAAATCAAAATTTTAGTTTTTCCGAAGCCCATAACTTATGGTTAGAGATAAACTGAGCGCAGTCACTTCTGTTAAAGATCTTACCAAAACCTGTTTTTTCTATTGAACTCATAACGACAGATATGTGAGGGTGGTTTTCGAGAAAACCCAAATTTTAGAAAAAAACTGTCAAAAAATCAATCTTTTCCGGAGGCGATAACTTTTAGTGAAAGTCCGCTCATGCAGGAGGACTTCTCAATACCCGTCACCCCATTAAACCTATATCTCAAACCTGGGAGGTCATTTTTCGATAAAAATCAAAAATATTCGAAAAACGTCATAAAATAAAAAAAACTTGGCTATAGCTTCCAGAACGAAAAAATATGGGTCAAATAATCCCCCACAGGCTTTTCGAAAGCTGTAGAAAGAGAGGTAAAGTAAAAAGAGACTATGGGAGTATGCAGGCACACTGGGGAGAAAACGGTCTCTCCATTAATATCCTTTTTAAAAATCATTGGAATCAGTGAAAAAATGTTCTAAAGCGTCTCAAAAGATTGAAAAAACCTAGGACATACATTTCATAAAATATGTTCTTATCAAACATGAATTCCGGACGGACATGCCAAGCAAGACAATTGAGTTTTAAAATTTAAACGGAACAAAACTCAAGAAGCAGAAACGAAGCCGACAAGCTTAGAGCAGACACCAGTTGAACAAAAAATTGAAACTACAATGAACAACACTTGCGACTACTATGATACTTGCTTGCAACCACAGGCTAATCCGTTTTTTTTTTTCAAATCACCGCGGACACTTGCCGTACCAAGCTTGAACATTGACTCCAGGTCGAATGTGCTAGATCAGTTGTTTGAAATGAATGGATTTTAACAAGGATAGCCGGTTACTATGCAACTAGCACAGAACGCTCCGGCCAGTCTTAAAAAATTACAACTAAATTATTTTTCCAATTAGTGTCGTTTTTTCGGCTTGGTGTGATAAAAAAATCTGAGCGACAAAGTAGAGCTTAGACACCTTCTTCAGTCATGTAAAATATTCAAATTGGAAAATAGTTTTTCAAGACAACTAACAAGAAAAAAAATCAAAATAAAAATTTTTTAAAATAAATTTTCAAAACTTTGTCCAAAAGTTTTGAAGTTTTTGATTCCTAAGATGACACTAAAAACTCCAAAAACTAACTTCATTGGAGTAAAACTAAATTATCAAGGCTTAAATTAAGCTTAAATAAGGCAATGTAAGCCTTCTCACTCGCTAGAAATTAGACGAAAAATCAAAAATTTCAAACCGGCTTTTCTCGACACCGGGTAAACTTTTTGGAAATTTTAAATGTGGTTCGAATCAAGACTAAAACGGCTTTTATATGATATATCACTCAGCCCAGTCCGATCATTATGATTTTTTGTGGAAAACAAAAAGAAAAAAAAACAGAACAAAAACTATAACACCCGAATGCAAACTTCCTCCCCAATTTCAATGGTCGGAACAAAAAAGAGTTCCAACTAAAACTATAGCACAAAATGAAAATCTAAAGAAAAACCAACAGCAAGTTTTCTCTTTCTACTTCGGATATTGGAAAAAAAATACACATCGAAAACGAAATAAATCACTTACAAGTCGAGGTTGGCCTGAGGATCTGATCACTGCAAAACCTGTTGGTATCGTGTCAAAATACTCCTGGTCGAAGTCATCGTCGATTCCCATACTTTCAAGCATCATACTTTTCGACACTGCGGCATCCCGTTCAGAACACATATCACGCACACTCTTACCTCCAAATCTATCAGCTACAAACTGGTCCAGATCTTCAAAACCTAAACTCTTTCGTACTTTATCCATACTCGATTTAGACTCTTTTTGATTTCCATGCTCTGGTGAAACGAATTCTTTAAAAGTCTGGAAATCATCAGTCGTTCCACGTGTAATATACTGGTTCCGATGTCCAATTGGCTGAACCGCTGTTAGTCTTCTCTGCGGCTCTTCGTACATTTTGTCAATTAAACTGTCTGCACTTCCTGACTGACTTTCGATGTTTTCGACTTTGATTTCTACCTTCTCTTTTCCAAGCGAGTTCTCTGCAGATTCCAGATCATCAGTTTTACTTACTGAAACAATTGGCTCATCCGTCGCAATAAAACTTTCGAAGTTATCTCGGGTATCGTTGAGAGACATTTTCGACAATGTTCCATCGTTGCGTGAAAACGCTTCAGATATAGACCTCAAAGTTTCCGGCATGAAAGTTGAAACAGAAACCATGCTGTCAGAATCACTGTCCCCACTGACCCTTTTCTGTTCGTCTCTTCGAAAACTTAGACTAAGCTCTTGATCTTCCCTACTTCGATACGTTTCCAAAAGTAAAGACCCGTTTCCGAGTTTCGTATTTCTATCGGTTTTGAGTTGGTCGCAACTCTCATTTTTATTGACTCGGTACTCATGTGACGCATCAAATACTTGATCAGTATTTTTATCACTTTCTTCTTCTTTCATCCATGATGATTCAAGCGGTCGAAATGTTTGCAATTCCTCGTAGAGATCCATCTTTACTGGTTGCTTGCTTTGAGTATTTTCAGCACAGCTTTTCTGTTCTTTCTTAGAATTAGGTCCACCTTTTGGTTTCTCCTGGGTAAATAAAAAATCCTCAGTCAAGCTATTCAAGTCGGAAAACTTTCGCCCATTTCTACCAAATTTGAACTCACTTTCGGAATCACAAACTTCATTTGGATTATCCGCATCACTTTTTTTCTCAATATTTCTGCCGTCTTTGCCACTTTGGTTGTTACCATCTAAAACTGAACCAGTTTCGCCTTTCTCTTTTTGTTTATCTAATTTAGACTTCGGATTAAACTCTGTCAGTTTTTCTCGCTCAAGGAAGGCGTCGCTATCTGAGTCCAAAAACTTACTTCTATTTGAATGATTAGATCCAATTTTCTGGGTTTGAGTCATAGTCTTGTACTTTAAATACTTCTGGTAAGGCGACAGACTCTTCCAGTCTTCGGTGCTGACTTGCCAAAACTTTTCGAATTCGTCGTCGCTCGTTTCTGCGCAAGCTCTTGTTTGCTTTTTAAAGTCTGAATTTTTCGGTTGTTTTGGTCGCACTGGTTTTGAACCTTTAGTAACATCGGCTTTTTCGTCTGCTTTCCTACTTTTATCTCTTCTGGTCCTGTTTTTCTTCAAATATTTTGGCACAGCTTTCGGAATTCCATAGACAGCGTCAGAAAGGGAGCTGCTGCTTTCACTCGAGGATCTTTCATCTCTAAACGTCACTTTTCTCGAGGTCGAAGGTGTTCGTGGTGTCTTTCTTACACTTTTTAAATTCTTCATTCCCTTAGGCGTACGTTGACCACTTTTTCTTGCGTCATCTTTTGGCGAAAATTGTTTCAACTCAAGATCAGCTTCCTCTTGTCGCGATCTGAACGATGCAAAATCAACATCAGATTCTCTGGACATCGCAAAGTTAGTTCTTTCATTGTCTCCATTTTCATCGCAGTAATCATCACTTTCACGAAGATGCACCATTTTCTTGCTTATCGGTCTAAACGTCAATGGCCCTTCTCTAGAGGTACTCACATTGCTATAATTTGAATCCCCATCGAAGCTTTTCAAAGTAAGCCGATCTCCAAATCCCGATTCCATTGAGCAAGCAACAGATGCCGCAGCTTTACTCGCATTACTGTTCTCGCTGGCAGTCCTATAGTCAGAAGTAAAATTAGTGGACCGGTCTACTTGGACTTCAAAATCGGCGGTGAATTTTTCAATACTAGATTCAGCCTCGCGATTTTCTGCTTTCGATGATGCAGCTTGTACGCCAATTGAATTTGTAACCTTTGACCAGTGATGGTTATCTGTATTTGCGGACAACTCTTTTTTAAACTCAACTGGAAGCGTCGCATCAGTTAAGGAGGTCATAGACTTGGAAGTTATACTTGGCTTACATTTATCGACAGTTTTCTCTTTAGAAAACAACAGGGATGCCAAATACGGATCGTTGCGGCACATTTCAAGGGTTTTCTGGGAAAATTCCTCCTTCGAATGAGCTGAAACGTGATCATCGGTTACGCGGTGCACGCTTCTGCCGTTAGAGAGGGTAGCTGTTCTCACTACCCAGTCATTTTCAGCTGGATTTTTGTAAGTCACAGTGGCATTGCTGTGGTTACTAAGCCCGTTGGTAGTACGACTTGGTCCAATATCTTCATTTAATTTCGATTCCTTTGGCGCTAGCTGTACATTTTCTATTTTAGACGCCCGTGAAGAGCTCTTTGCTGACCGAGGCGTCGAATCTTTACTTCGCCTCCCCGAGGACGCAAAACTTGTCAGTTTTTTTGGCGACTCGATAGAAGCCTTCTCGTATGCCTTCTTTGTCGATGGTTCGACCATTTCCGACATAGAACTTGTTTTATTGCCTTTGTCGTTTTGACTTTTCATATTTTTTACTGCATTGTCCTCAAGTTTTAAACTGGTAGCAATTCGACAATTTGAAGTTTGTGAACTTTTTATTTGGTTTTGTACGTCAGGAGTTTTATTCAAAAACTTCGGTGAAGTTGTTTTTGTTGACATTTCGGCGAATGATGTTTTGGTCCCGGATTCATTGCTATCTTTTGAATTTTCTACATCTTTGCTAAAGGACGTAGCCTTTAGCCCCCACAAGCTCATCATTGCTGGATTCACATTTGCCGGTATGCTTTGAAGATACTTGAGTGTGTTAGAGCTTCCCAACGATGAATTACTTGTTTGAGCAGACTCGATTCGATAAGTCAGTTTTCCCTTCTTGTCTACAGTGACATCAACGTCCATATTTTTTTCTTCTGAAAAACACTGTAAATACATTCAATAGAAAAAAACTAATTTCCGTATATTCTAAACCTAAATTTCTGGCTATTGTTCCGACTATTGAAAATGGGAGAAACTTTGTACTCGGGTGTGTTCCAGTTTCATTCTTTTTCTGTTTTCCAGGCAGAATCAGGTACCAAAAAATATATTCAAATGGTTTGATGGATAGAAGAAACATTTTAATTACCATAGACAGCAATATCATTAGCTATTACACAGCAATAACACTTTAATTACCATACACAGCAATAGTTGCATTAGCACAGTACATTTTTTTTAATTTAAGTTTTTAATAACTTTTTCTTCACGTATAAAATTCCAACCCTGTTATTTACCATTATTTTTCAGGTGCTATGTTTTCACTGATGATGAACTTTCTGTTCGAAAAGCTTTTTACCACAACATTGTTTTTACTCTTTACTCCAAAACAAGTGCAAAATAAGTTTTGCACTTCTGAGGAGTGCAATCCTCTGCTTTAGGGGGTGCAAAAAACTTAAAAATACATCCAACATAGACAATTCTATCTGTGCTGTAATCGAGGAGGGTAGATTTTAATTGACAATTCTCTTGATGCATTAAAATAGACTTGATTTATTCATAAAATTTTGTCGATGTATTTAAAATTAGCCACAAAACGAAAATGTGAAAATAAAAATGTAGAAAACTTGTGCCAGTCGGTCATATTTGGAAGTTTGACCTTGAGAAGAGCAGAAAACACTTGATTTTGTGGTGAAATTTAATTTTTCAAAATTTCGAATGGAACAGGTCATGCACGATTTTCTCGCGATAACTGAAAATCAAAAAAAGAAAAGAGAACAATTTAAGACACACACGCGGGAAAGTTGTCACATAAAAAACGAGTGGGAAATTGCTATTCGCAATTTCCATCATAGTGAACAAGAGTGGAGCTGTCCTATCTGAAATAGAAGACAGAGTATTCCCGAGAGAGTAATTATTCGAACTGAACCAGAGTGAACCTTCGACGGAAAGGTGGACAGCTTGAGTGTCCCAATGGTCCACATAAAACTTCGTTCTTGAGTTCAAACTTACCCTTACCATTCAAACTGATAAACATTGAACTTATCTAGTTACCTTAGTTAATTCTAGAGTTGCTCACCCATTTAATTACTTCCTGGTTCTTGAGCGCATCAACATGTGAGTCCTTAATTTAAATTTCTAGAGTGTGTTTTACGATTGTTATGTTGAGGTAAGGCGAGTTTTAGGTTGATCCATTTGAAATGGATCAAAGTTACACTGTCTAATAAAAAGTAACTTAACGGATTGTTCCAACCCGGTTTTTAACGGCGTTCATGTATTTTGGGTATCTAGAGACCTAAGTATGGGGACGTTTCTAATTCTAGAGTGGGGGGATATTTTAGTAGTAGCCTTTAAGCTGTAACGGGTCGTAGTCTCATGTCACAAGCGAACCGAATTGGCTCCGACTGATTTGAGGCGGAAAAACACAAGAGATAGTGTCCCTGACTCCCGAGCCAATAGTTATAGGGCCTATTTTTCTTAAGCCTCATGTGTGACTGTAGTAGACGAATGTTACATAGTGTTTTTATGGCGCTCCTGGGTGTTTACGACATCAAGACTACGGAGTCGAACCCACTTGAGACAGCTTCGGGCTGAATGCCCATTCTAGAGTACCGGCGGTACGGTTCGACAGGAACGTGCAAACCTTCCGGTTGTACCGTGATAGCTTTTTAAGAAAACTCGAGAAAATTTCCTGGTACGCTCTCCGAACGAGGCTTAGCTAACCGAGTAAAGGGGGGCAACTAGGGGGACAAAAACACGAGCAAAAAGACAGAAAGCAAAACAAAAACCAAAAAAGAATAGAAAAAGGAACAAAAACCATAAAACGAAAAAAGACAGTGACTTTGACACCAGATCAGTTGGATCAAACCTTTGTATTAATTAAATAGTATACCCATACTGTTTTATAAGTTCGATCGTTTAGATCAACCTAGCAATTTAACCCAGTAACCGTAATAAAGTGCCCGAGTGTGGGGCGTTGTCAAGGGTTTTCAGATAGGTTGGAACTTAGCTGGACCAATAGGAGACTTGACTGGAAGAGGTGACCAGCCGAGTGGGAAAGTGGTTCAGGGACACTTGAGCTGAACCAATAGGAGACTGGACTGGAACAGGTGACCAGTCGAGTGGGAAAGCAGCCAAGAAGGATTTGGCAATTCTCGAGTTCTCAAGTTGGGCAGAACGGGTATCGTTAGAATCCACATTACATTATAGGAGATAAGTGTAAAATTGGATAAGCGAAATCCCCCAGTTTTGAGGAACGTTTTTACTTGAGCAGGCCTGGAAACAGGTCTACGGTTTTCTCTTGAGAGGTTTAGCACCCGGCGCTTAAAGTAATTTTTAGGCTTAAGAAGGGGGGCTAGAAAGGGGGGAGGTTAGAAGGGGGACTGGTTAAGTTAGAGGTTGGCGGTTGTAAATTGTAAAAAGGGGGAAATTAGAGTAACTAATTAGTCGACATCGTTGACTTAGTTACATTAGAAATTAACACGCGTTGGTAATATTAGGTGGAGATCCAAAATTCAACTCGAGTTAAGACTGGTACGCTGGTTGGTTTGGTAGGGGGGACCGGATATAGACAGCTTTTGTGATACCCCATAAGATCACTAGTGGGGGGAGGAAAACGCGTGGCAATTAGGTACCAGACATTTTTTTTAGACGAAAGGTAGACATTGGTCACCTTTAAATTTTAGGTGGGCTCATTTTTCTGTTTTTATTATTTTTCTTACTTAAAATTTTTGTTGCATTTTATTGAGGATTTGTGTTTGGTTTTATACGAACAGGTGATCACAAGATACCTGCGCACCTACATTGAAATAGAAACAACCAAAAAGAAGAGGGGGGTCAGCATTTGGCTTTTAAGAGAGGGTTTTTGGGAAAATTTTACTAGAGCTTGAGTGGTGGTACAAGGTACGGTGGTTCAAGAAGACCCTACAACGAGGAAGACACTCCGTGACGAGTATTGGGACAAGACCGAAGAAGTCTTGGGACAGAGCAGTCTTGGGATAGTGGTCTTGGGACAGGGTCTTGGGACAGTGGTCTTGGGACAGGGTCTTGGGACAGTGGTCTTGGGGCAGGGTCTTGGGACAGTGGTCTTGGGACAGTGGTCTTGGGACAGGGTCTTGGGACAGGGTCTTGGGACAGTGGTCTTGGGACAGGGTCTTGGGACAGTGGTCTTGGGACAGTGGTCTTGGGACAGGGTCTTGGGACAGGGTCTTGGGACAGGGTCTTGGGACAGTGGTCTTGGGACAGGGTCTTGGGACAGGGGTCTTGGGACAGTGGTCTTGGGACAGGGTCTTGGGACAGTGGTCTTGGGACAGTCTTGGGACAGTGGTCTTGGGACACTAGTCTTGGGACACCAGCCTTGGGACACTGGTCTTGGGACACTACCCTTGGGACACTAGTCTTGGGACACTAGTCTTGGGACACCAGCCTTGGGACACTGGTCTTGGGACACTACCCTTGGGACACTAGTCTTGGGACAGTAGTCTTGGGACACTAGCCTTGGGACACTAGTCTTGGGACAGTAGTCTTGGGACACTAGCCTTGGGACACTAGCCTTGGGACAGTAGTCTTGGGACACTAGCCTTGGGACACTGGTCTTGGGACAGTAGTCTTGGGACACTAGTCTTGGGACAGTAGTCTTGGAACAGTGGTCTTGGTACAAGGGTCTTAGGACACTAACGGAGAGTACTGTGATAGTGACGAATAGTCTTGGGACGGTATAGAAATTGAAGTCAAATTACAACAAGTGCGTTTTAAGACAGAATAAGACAAATCGAAATAGGTAGGGTTAAGACCAAATTAAGGAAAATTTTTCGGAGGTTTTAGAAAGAGAATTGGATAAGGTTTTTAACACGTTGTACAGAATTTGTTACCACAAAAAATATTTTTTTTACCCTTAGAATAGAATCGTGTATATAATAAAATTGTAAATAGAAGCAGTTGTAAATAGAAATAATGAGGCGGAGTAGGGTACCGGTGCTCGAAAAAAGGTCAAGTGGATCAAACACGAAATATAATTCATCGCTGCGCGGAACGACATCAACGGGCCCAAAGATAACGAAGACGAACTTTTCAGTTAACATGGTCAGCACAAGGAGTACAGCGGACAACAGGGCGAAAGAGGGCACGGAAGGGGAGCGAGTAGAACCCACCATCGAGATTGATCTAGAGACACCCGATCAAAGTGTGGATGAAACAAGGAAGATGGCGACAGAGTCAACTCCAATGCCCAATGCAGAGGAACCGAACCAGAAACCCATAGAGTTCTCACCGATAGATGACGCGGAAGATGCAATAGGCAACACCGAAGAAACGGTGAAAGAAGACTCTCAAGTAAAGAGGACATCTTTTACGGAAAAATTGGGAATAATGTTCGGAATAAAAACGAAAGAAAACGTGACTGAAGAACCAAAAGCAGAAAGAGCACGAACATTTGGTACAGTGAGCACGAAAACGACAGAAACCGGCCAGAATGAGGAACAAGCTAAAGCAGAGGCTACGGCCGAAGAGAAACTCACGGCTGACCATGAAGAGACTACCATTGAGCTGGGCGACTTGTTGGCGAAATTAAATCAGATCGACAAAAGACTTAAGAACAGTGAAGAAGACAGAGAGGTGATAAAAAAGGAGATAAGATACAACAAGCACGAGTATCTAGACAGTTATTTTAACCTAGCTAAGGCAACAGATGAGAGACTCAAGGAAATGTCAGATAAGGTAGAAGCCACCAATGAAGAACGAGAAAAGAACATCAAAACAGACATGCAACAGTTGAAGAACCGTTATGATGATGTCAACAGCCAATTAGGGAGCCTGGAAAGGAGAATGGACACAATGAGCAAGAGTCAAGCCGAGAGTTCGTGTGCAATACAGGCGAAGTTGGATGCAATCTTGAGAGGTTCTACTCCACAAGAAAGACCGGCAGCGGATCGTACGCAAGGCACCA